TTAGATGCATCAGAAGAGGACATTAGGTTAAATAGGTTTTATCAAGTGTCAAAATTAGCACAATTCTATGCATCTTTTATATGTAAGACAAAAATCCTGACGGATATATGAGTGTTAAGGAGTCTATCAAGTCAACAACTTTGAGTTGGAGCCATGGGATATGGCCTGTCAGCACATCTATATATAGACTGTACCTGTGATGTATTAACTTTATAGGTATGTGCTAAATTATTTACCTTAAAGTATATGCGATTAGTGGTGTTTGCTACTGTTGCTCATACTTATTAAAAACCATCTCATAGGTTTACATTGAACGAGGGACTTGAGCCTTATTTATCTTGACTTAAAGGGTTAGTTCACCCAAAAATGAAAATTCTGTCAGTATTTACTCACCCTCATGTTGTTCCAACCCCGTAAGACCTTCGTTCATCTTCGGAACACAAATTAAGATATTTAAGATATTAAGATCGCTCCTGCATACAGTCCATAGGCTTCTTGAGGGACTGGCTCTTGCTGTCCTCGAAAAGTCATTAAAGACATCGTTAAAATAGTCCAAGTGACTACAGGGGCTCAATCTTAAGTTTATCAAATGACGAGAACACTTTTGTGCGCAAAAAAACAACAAAAATAACGACTTTATTTCAACTATTCGTTTATTTCTCCCTCTGCGCGAGTCAGGTTACTAGTTTAATAGCGTAAGCTTCTGTTATTGTACGTCACACGCATCACACACACATGACCAGCGTCGGCCAATAGTGAGCCTACGTGTGACGTAACTCTACGCAATCACACTACGTTAACTGACTTACGGGCTCATGGAGAAGGAAGTGAATAGTTGAAATAAAGTCGTTATTTTTGTTGTTGTTTTGCGCACAAAAGTGTTCTCGTCGTTTGATAAACTTAAGATTGAGCCCCTGTAGTCACTTGGCCTATTTTAACGATGTCTTTAATGACTTTTCGGGGACAGCAAGAGCCAGTCCCTCAAGAAGCCTATGAACTGTATGCAGGAGCGATCTTAATATCTTAAATATCTTCATTTGTGTTCCGAAGATGAACGAAGGTCTTACGGGGTTGAAACAACATGAGGGTGAGTAAATACTGACAGAATTTTCATTTTTGGGTGAACTAACCCTTTAATGCTTGGATCATATGTCTCGGGCAACCATAGCAACACCCTAGCAACCACAAAGGCAATTTAGAACATTTTAGCATCATACCAAAACCCTAGCATCTAAGTGGCATGTTTTACTAGTTCAGAAAATGTAAATGTAAATATATATCTTTACATGCGTATCTGTTTATGTGTTTGCACATGGTGAACACATTAGACATATCTGGTTGCGTAAACATGTTTTTGAAGAGATTTCGTTAGAAGTTCTGACCTAAAACTAAACTAAATGGGTGTGATTTAGTTGATTTCATTCTTGGCTTGTGTAATGTTAATGATACAGTAAGACTTTTAGGACTGGTACTGCCGCTGACCTTTCTGCATGTTAGCAAGTTTTTCAGCTGTCTCTTTTTTTCCGCACCCTCTCATTCCCCACACACACTTTGTGCAGTTCACACAACACTTTCACATTTCTTCAACTGGCATGTCTAAATTCAGAATTCAAAAAACCTAAAAGTGTTTTTGCTGTGGTGAAATGTGAGTCATCTTTTTAAAAAAATAGCAATGGAAGACAATACAGAACATGGCATGATGGGAATTGGCTGCCATGTCTGTCATTGTACAATATAATGGAAATATAGTCAATGTAGTGGGTCTAACAAACTACATAGATGGTGATTATATGATGCATTTAGATTTTTTGACAAATGTCGAAACTAAAATGGAAGGATGGATGAGAGGGTAGCATAGACCACCAGCATAGACATCTACCATTGTGCATTTAAAACAAGGGCAAGAATGTGAAACAAACAATATACCTTCCCACAGAGAAGAAGAGCACGGAGAAGAGGACAATTAGCTGGAGGGAATTGTTGGAGATGGAGGCAAGCAGAATCAGATTCCTGCTGAGGGCAACCTACGATGTCCTGCTTTCACCCCAATAACCTCCAAATGAGAGAAAGAGGTTTTGTTTGGAACGCAGAGATTTCAGCGGATGCTCAGCAAAAATGATGGAAAGCATTTGGTAGAGATTGGTTGAAGGGGATTTGTGGGTTACCGCTTCCTTTTACAGTACAGTACTTACAGTGTACTTACCTAGAAAGTACTGGCTAATATAAGGTAAGTACATGGAACAGGGGTAGGTTCAGGGTTAGTACTAGTTATTACCCAGTAATTGTAGTTACTAAAATAAGTACATAGTATTACATGGGTAACTGGAATGTAAAAGGAAGTGTTACCATTTGTGGCAATATTGACCATCAGGTTTCCGAAAGAGCAGTGAGTCCATGGCCAAGCTCTGCACCAGATCATCAAAGAAACAGCAACCACTGCATCACGCTGTAATCAGACCCCACTGAGAGACACACACCCGGGCCTGATTAGCTTAGGGTGGGCCTGCCTCTGCACCCTTAAAGGGATACTCCACCATTTTTCATATTAAACTATGTTATTCCCTTAACTAAGATGAGTTGATACATACCTCTCTTGTCTCAGTGCATGCGCTCAATCGCGCGGGACACTTTGATCGCACTTAACTAACCCAGTTCATTCAATATGGGCCAAACAGAGAAGCGACCAAACACCTCAACGTTTTCCCTATTTAAATACAGTTACACAAGTAGTATAACTCGACCTAGGATGGTGACACAAAGTAAAACGTTGCACTTTTCTAAGCGTATAAAGTGGATAACTATATTGTATGGCGAAATACCACAGCAAGTGCTTGGGAGCACTCCAACTCGGCGTAGTAATATCATCACTTGTAAAAAGTCCTCTCCCCCCTCTCACTCTCCGGAGTGATGATATTACTATGATATTATATAGTTATCCACTTTACACGCTTAGAAAAGCCCAACGTTTTATTTTGTGTCACCGTTCTAGGTCGAGTTACACTACTCGTGTAACTGTATTTAAATAGGGAAAACGTGGAGGTGTTTGGTCACTTCTCTGTTTGGCCCTTATTGAATGAACTGGGTTAGTTAAGTGCGATCAAAGTGTCTCGTGCGATTAAGCGCACGCACTGAGACGAGAGAGGTATGCATCAACTCGTCTTAGTTAAGGGAATAACATAGTTTAATATGAAAAAAAAATGGTGGAGTATCCCTTTAAGACTAAGACTTGTCCTGTGTGCTCAACTTGTTCCCAATAAGGGAGTATACAAAACCAGAACACACAGTGAGTTCTAGCCACATCTAGTGGTCACTGAGAAAGTTTGCATGACAGCATAAATGTTGATCCACTGCAGAACGAAAAAGAGCTCATCTCCTTAGTGTCTCTGAACTGAATGGGGATTGTGATGATACACTCAGATTCATGGTCACCCTGATGATCAATGCTGTCCATACGAGGTCTCCTAATTTGAGGATCTGCGTCAAATACATCATCTATATTATATATATGTAAATATTTTATATATGACTTATGAATAACACATTGTCTTAAATATATATGCATCTGTGTGTGTGTGTGTGTGTATTTATATATACAAAATAATTATACACAGCACACACAAAACATTTTTTGAACTTTGATCTTTTGATATTTTTTTCTTTCTTTTTTTTTTACTGTTACTAGGAAGATATTTCAATGTTCGTGTGTGGTGATGAGGTAATCGATATCAGTACATGTCAGTACAGTGACATGTCACATTTATCCATCTAACGCTAGATGGCGCACAAGTCAAAGTCGTATTTTCGCAGTCACCATGTCCTGCAAATAGAGTTGGATTGTAAAGTTGGATCCCTCACCCCCAACCCAAATTAATTTTTAAAACCATTAAAAAGGATTTGGAAAACATCGTATTACTGATTATTTCCCTATGAAATATAGGCAAATAATCAGTAATACGATGAAAAGGCTTTATAATGTTAGTTTATATATATATATATATATATATATATATATATATATATATATATATATATATATATATATTATAAAACAAATTAATTGTAATAATATTGTCAATATTTATCTATATACGTATTCAGAATGTATTTATGATTATTTATGTTTATTTATATTTCATATTGATGATTATATAGTAATGTTCATTTATTTGTCACATTATATCAAAATGTATTCTACTGTGCGTTTGTTAATGTGTCAAAAATTATGTGTAATTTTTTGTTTAAAATATTGTTTGTACTTGCCATTGCGCTAAAATACTGAAGAAAAAAGGAAGAAATTGCCAGCAGTTTGATCTGTTGCTAGCCCCTCCCCCCAGCTACTATTTTTTGCGCATGTCACAGAGCGCCGCTGATCACGTAAAGCACGTGCAACACGCCGAGTTTTTATTACAGGACGTGTTTGTCTATCTTCTGTGCTTTTGTCCCAATTACCCTCGAGTCTTCCTTTGCGTACTTCATTTGGCATTTGATCACTATTCAATTATATATAAAGTGTGCATTATTACTTTTGATATTGTAATGGAATGGATTAGCCTTTTTTGGAGTACAAATTGGCAAAGTTTGTGATTCTGTAGTAGTTATCAAATCTGGTTTACTATTTATATTACACACTTGCTTTACTTTTAGTGTCTGGCCTCAGGCAGTTCCCTGTGTGTCATTTGACATGATCATCATATTAGTAGGTCAGTGAACTACGGTGTTATCGGCTCAGAAAAAAATAATAGAGACCCTAATAATAATTTTAACAGCAGTACCGTGTATAAATTGAATTTTATTGTGAAGTTATTCTTCGTTTAATATTGAAAGTTTTCGTGTTTGAGCCATAGACTGAGCCCATGTATGCAGTGGAAGGCACATGTCGGCACAGTCGGATTTTCCTTCGATAGTTTCCGCTTGTGTCAACCACGCCCCCATTTCCCTTCGGCAGATTCCGCTGACGTTAACCCCGCCCCTACTGTGCTCGGCGTTGTTTAGGGACATTAGGAAGATGGCGGCTGCCCCGCTGTACTGTGTCTGCCGGCGGCCCTATGATTTTAACCGGTTTATGATCGAATGCGACATTTGTAAGGACTGGTTCCACGGCAGGTATGTAAATTATGGTCTATTTGACATATGTGTGAAGGTTGGTATGTACAGGCTGCCATGCCACGGGTGTATTTTTGGTGTAAATCATGTGAAAGTGCTGGTGACGCGCGTTGGGGGTATTTAAATATGACGGTGCGCGATCACGATCCACTCGCTTGTGTTTTGAGCGTTATTGATCGATTTCTGTCAGATTTCTTCATGATAAATGTGTAAGAGGAAGTTTTGATACAACCTGCCTCCCACAATCCTTCCCCTAGGATAAGATTATCCTGCTTTGCTTTAGAAGTGAGCTGCCAAAAGCCACATGGCTCATCTGTATGTGTGTTATGAAACTAGACGTTTAAATCGTCTGTCTGCTTGTGCTTGACAGGCTTGGTTGAACTTGGAGAAAACTGTTTTTATCTCACTTTATAACTCAGGTTTAACGCCAAACAATCCATTTTGTGACTTAAATGGCTATTAATCAAAAGTTTTCATCTGTGATTTCAGATGGATGCAGATGGGTTTCTATTTACCATAGTAACAGTAGTCTCTGGCAAAGTACATTATTAACTACAGTTACTAAACTACACACACACACACATACACACATATATATATGGACTATGTTTTAATATTTTATAGACATCAATGGGATGTCTTGACAAGTATGCATCCAAGATTGGGTGTGTATCCTGTTCCCTTGTGTCACATTGTTTTATGTGGTTAGACAAGTTGTGCAATATGAACACTTCTAGTGCTTGCCTGAATATTTTCTAGATATTTTGATGAGTAAAAACACAAACAAAACAAACACAAAAAAAACCCTTTCTATCTTGGCTGGCACACCAATTTTTTTTTTTTTTGGGGTTTTTTGTTTTGTTTTGGTGTTTTGTCAAAAGTGGCTGTCTCAGCTTTCCTTCCTGTCTTGTGAAGTAACTGCCGGTATACAGTGAGCAGTTGTGCGGGTGTTGAGAATTAAGTCTTGCATAACTTTGCAGAGCTGCCAGTTTCCCAAAGTGCTAGACAAAGACTGGCGCCTTTTCAGGCTAGAAGAAGAAGTGAGGGAAATGACTGAATCTGCAGTGGTATCACTTCACTCTGACCATCTAGATTGACATGACGCAATTTTCCATAAACAAATATGGGAAACTTCTTGTAGAATTTTTACGCCTAAAAGTGTGACAGAATGTGGATATCTGCCTTAATGCACGTGAGGTGAACGTGTCTGAACCTGTGAATTAAACACTATTAAAGAGAAGGGACCCTGAGGGTGTGTAATGTTATAATTGGTTCTCTTTAGAAGGAGAGTCATAGCAGGTTGTGATTTGTATAATGAGACCAGAGATTTTTTTGTTTTTGTTTTAGGCTTACTGGTGAGTTTAGGTGGCCGTATATCTGGAGCTGCAAGTTCAACACACAATTCAAATCTCAGGTCAAGACCATCTTTTGTCATTTTCAAACTGAAAGTAAAGAAATTCTCTGGACTTGAGTGCCGTCAAAGAAGCCAAAACACAATCTATTTTCCATTTGGCTGTTAAACCTCCTAATGCTTAGTGTCAATTGGAAACTTAAGGAATGCATTGGTTTATTTAGGCTCTACTTTTCACCATTAGTCTGGTCTTAAAACGGTCCTAAAAATAAACGTATCCGAACCAAACCCCACTCTATATTGTGTTATTTTTTGATAATTCATTTCACTCATATACTTCACAGTTGGTGCTACTTCTGGTTCATTGTTCATTTGTTTTTTTGCATTTAACGACAACTTGTTTCATGAACAAGTTGTCGCTAAAAAAATCCTATAAAATGGTGGTATCGTAAGAATTGGTTGGGTCATATACAAGAACTGGACTAAAAGTTTCCTAAGCAAGAAAGGCTTAGGGTTACATGAGGTCAGCAGAGCCAGCAGACCCCATCTAGCCATACCCTCCCAAACGTAAACCTGTTTGGCTCTTGATTACTATTTGGGAATGCTTCTGCATTATGCAATGGATGGATTGACACTGGCCTTAACATCAGTATTTCTTTGGATCTTGAATGTGTGTACTCTTGACAGGAACATGAAGATGGCTTACGAGGAAAAAGTTCAAGTAAAGGCAATGTTAAAATACTTTCCCTCTTCAGGTCACTTGGTTTGTCAGAATGTTTTGTCGTCCAACTCATTATGTCTCATTAAATCCTAAATGGGCTTCTGAGTCTCAACAGAAGCCTGGTGTTAGCCGCTTCCAGACCTGAGACGGCATAAAGATTTGTGCGCACCAATCAGGGCCTGGTTTGGTGACCCCTGTCTGCTCTGTAGACTGAGTTAATCCAATGCAACTGTCCTGTTTATTTGTTAGGAAAGTATACAGGCAAGACATGAGGAAAAATCTTAAATTGTCAGTGTTTAGTTGGCTGTATTTATAGTTGACTTTCACTATTAACGCAATCCAAGGTAGTAATGTGGATCCAGTGGTCTGGAGTCTATTGTTCTGCTTAAAGGAGTAGTTCACTTTTAAAAAAAACTTTTGCTGATAATTGACTCACCCCCATGTCATCCAAGATGTCCACGTCTTTCTTTCTTCAGTCAAAAAGAAATTAAGGTTTTTGATGAAAACATTCCAGGATTTTCTCCATTTAATGAACTTCATTGGGAACCAAATGGTTCAAGGTCCAAATGAGAGTTTCAGTGCAGCTTCAAAGGGCTTTAAATGACACCAGACGATGAATAAGGATCTTTTCTAGGACCCTTTGAGTCATGACTTGAAAAAAAAGTTTGAACAGGAGAGTCACGAACAGGTGAGCATTTGTGAATAAAACTTTTTATTTATTTTTGAAATGACCGATCGTTTCACTAGATAAGACCCTTATTCATCGTCTGGTGTCGTTTAAAGCCCTTTATAGCTGCACTGAAACACTCATTTGACCTTGAACCATTTGGTTCCCACTATAGTCTGTTATATGGAGAAAATCCTGGAATGTTTTCACCAAAAACCTTAATTTCCTTTCAACTGAAGAAATAAAGACATGGATATCTTGGATGACATGGGGGTTAGTAAATTATCATCAAATAATGGCGCAAATACCAATAAATTGACTTGCGCAAACTTTAGTAAATCACCTTGCATGATTCATTACTCTTCTCCTATAAATGTTGCTCCTGAAAGGTAAACTCATATGCTATGAAGTCTGCTGCAAAAATAACCCTTTCCATGCCTTTTCAGAAGTAATTTTTCACTGTGTGTCTTTAATAAACCCTAGAAGTAAATTGTAAAAAGATGCTAAATCTAATATTTTTGTGTAGTCAATGTTTTAAAAGTAGTAAAGCACTTATTTTTGTGATGTGCCTAGCGTGTTTTGCCTAATATAGCATGCCATCCCGTTTCTCGTTGCTTGCTGAATATGTGTAGTAAATACATAAATACAGTGGGTACACAAAATAAAGGCCTCTGGCAAGCTGGCCACTGGAAACATGTTCAGTTGGTTCTCTGGTGGGTAGTTAATCAGTTACTCATGTGACAGGAAGGCTGACTCGACTCCAGGCATGTGGCACACTGACCTGGTTCACATGCTGTGATGAAACTAAGACAGGGAGATGAATGGAGCACTTCATATATAAAAAGGCATTATGGGAGATATGGTTTAACTCCATACAGTTAAATGGATGCATGCATTAAATTACATTTTTAACTAGGCTACATTGTGCAGTCAATGTTCACAATGAAAATGAGAGTTTGGCCTATAACAATCAGTTTCCATTTCCAACTTAATTTTCTTCGATTGGCACTAGCAAACTTTTGCATTTTGTTCTCAGAGAGCTTTCATCTGGTTATTTGGGCATTGTTGTGCCATTCACGTGGGCTCATTTCTTAAATGTGATTTATTCCAACATGATTTTGAGGCATTATGGGATTGTGTATGGATTTGGATTATATGAGTGTAGTGCATTGTGGGAGCTTGTTTGGGTATTATGGTAAAAGTACTTCTTTATATTTCACTTGAGCAGAGTGAATTGTGTGTGCAAACTGCTGAGAACTTCAGTACATTCATCAACTGGGGGACGGGATCTGAGGTCTCTATTCTTTCCCTCATTGTCTGTTTCACGGAGGAGGGAAGCGGAGGAGGCGAGTGGGTGTAGAGTCATTCATCCATAAACCCTTCCTCCCCCATCTGCTCGTGTGTCATTGCATGTCTGGCTCCTTTGATACCCAGGTGATGCAGCATGAGCTTGGAGACTGGGATTATATCACAGGGGTAAAAGACAAACAGTCGATGAATGCTACAGTCTTTGTCTTTTCAGACCTCCAGTCATCATAACAAAAAATTAGTGATGCACCAATTATAAAACATGGGCTGGTGCCAAAAACATGTTAATTAGGTTGTGTTATGGTCGGTAACTAAATTAAATTAAATATTAAATAAATATTATATAAAAGCAAGCATGCTTGCTTTTTATAAGATAGCCTATATAAATTTGATGAGTACGGTCATAGCGAACATTCAGATCTGTGAGAGAGCGGTTATCGTAGGTATGAAAATGCTTCATAAACATTCAACGACTGTCAAACGATTAATCGCAATTATTCGCATCCAAAATAAAATTTTGTGTTTACTTTGTATAATTATTTTATATGTATACACACACATGCTTGTATATATTTAAGAAATATTTTCATGCATATAGATTTATATATAATTTATGTATGAATATAAATATTTTATAAATAAATAATATTTTTTTTATTAAATATACAAGCATGTGTGTGTGTATATATATATATATATATATATATATATATATACACACACACACAAAATAATTATACCCAGTGCACCCACATATATTATGTAAACACTTTTATTTTGGATGCGATTAATCGTTTGGCAGCCCTAACTGCTACACCAGTCGTTGCCAATTAATGACTCCTAATAACATCTAGGCCTAATTGTCATTTAAATCATTCTTTCAAGAGAAGTTTAAAAAAAAAAAAAAAAAAAACACTAATTCATCCAGTAATGAAACGGGTGACTTCTTAATGAGTGAGTCATTGAATCATTCATTCAAACCAATAAAAAATTCAAATAAATTAACAGACTGCAACAATTAACATTTTGTCAGAACCTCTAGTTGGATACATTGCCTTGTCTATTCAGAATTGTGCAGCCCTGATGATGAGGAAAGGTAATCTAAATGCAAACATAACGGACATGATCATGAACAATTAACTTTAATAATCCATTTATTTTTGTACATGGTATTTTAAATATTAGAAACTGTATGTATACAATGGATAAATGTCAGGATCAATCTCAAAAGCATTTCAGTTTTTGAGTAAAACACTTCAATTTAGTTAAGGTAGGTTGCAGTAAAATACTTTCCGCATAGGACCACTGATACCTTTCCACCAGTGTTGATGGTATTTGCCAGCATGGGTGGCATGGGGATGTTCACTAACAGTATACCGCTGCAAAAGTATTAACTTCTTTTTACCCACAAGCTAAAAACAAAAAAGAACTATTCCGTTAGTAAATTGGGGCTTTTTCTGGGATGACAACAGCTTCAGCTACCTGGTTCTTCTTGGTCTTTCTTACAAGTTTTCTGCAATAATGAGGAGATCAAAGCTTAGACAGAAACACTCAGTCCTTTGCATGTGTTCAAAGGCTGTCTTTTCTTTGAGGAGAATCACCTTTCTGCTGAAGGTCCCCTGCTGATTTTAACAGCCCCATATAGCACAGCATCCACTCTTGATGTTAACTCTATTCTGACGGTAGACAGAGCCAAAGCGTTTACGGCAGCATCATTCACTCATTCAACTCAAATAGGAATTAAAACCACTTTTGAAATACATGATTGCAACAACATCCAGCAATCTGCAGAACATAAGGGGTCTATGTACAGCTTCTTCATTGCCAGCGTCTACCAGAGGCCATGTCCCAACCCATGACCACTTGAAGTCCATGAGGTCATATGGTGTCCCAATTCTCATTTAAAGATCTTGGAAGGGCGGTATGCCAGTACTACTCTCTAACTACTGGGATACAGTATTATTATGTCACCATTTTGGGACCGGGATAGCAGTCGATCGATAATGGTTTTTTTTTTGATAGCCGATGCTGATATTTTAGAGAGCAGGGTGGCCGATATATAATACATGGCAATATATCGGTCAACCACTAGACCGGGACAGAATATATATGACTCATACTCTTGTTGTCCGCTGTGAAGAATGCACATGTGGGCTCAGCAAAAGCATACAAGGCAGCATAGTTGCCACCCATGTGCACTCTTCTGAATCGTAAATCAATAAATGGGACAGCCTATCATTTTGAAGACTTAACAGACATATGTGAGCAAGGGCCCCAAGACTGCAAGTGCAGAATCTGCATTTCTCAATATTTTGGCTGCATAAAAAAAATCCCTTTTGCTTATAATGCTTTTGTGCTGTATCTGGGCCAATTTGAAAGATAGAAGGGTTGTTGTAGTCAGCTGAAGAGGCTGAATTTATGATTTTTAACAGATTTAATTGGTGATTTGTCATGCAACCATTTATTGGACATCACGGCCATATCCCACATTTAGTTGAGACAGTTGTAGTGTTCTTGCGTGACTAAAAAGTAGCTAATATATATATATATATATACACACTACAGGCAAAGTAGAGTATGTGTCAGTAAACACGTCTGTGTGAGTGTTGGCACTTTCCTGCGTTCTCTTGTGTGCCCCAGTCGTCTCGGCACCAGTAAATCTCTTGCCGCTGGACTGTCAAAACTCTGCTAGCTGATTTCACATGGTTGGCAGTATGACTCTGAAATCAATCTTAGGAACGTGTGTTTGTGTGGATGCCTGAGCATTATGGTTGAGGTTGTGGTTGTGGTTTGGCTTTTTTGGTAACATGACTTGGCATGTGGTTTGAGTGACATGGATGGTCTAGGAAATCCCACAATTGTGACGCAACGCTCTGTTGATTGTAGTACCGACTGCCCACACTGCCTTGTTAGACGTATCCAATGGTACAAACATTTTTGACATTTGTAACATTTCCTGAAAAGTTCAGATGATGACGCCAATATACCATGCAACATAGAAATTTACCAGCATTGACTGAGTTTAGAAAAAGGCACATTGGACAAGTAGGACCATAAACCCCATAGGCTCTGCTAACACCCATTCCTTGAGTGGCATTGGTGACCCATTTTATAGTAATGTGGTTGTATTTTGTTTCATTTCTAATTGTAAATACATTTTGATTATACCATGTTCATGTGGTAATATTGTACATTCACTGTGTTTTTCCTGCTGAGTTTTGGTTGATGGATAGGCCTATGTTAGACTATTTTTAGTTGATCATTTTGAAATTAATGTCGTCATAAGCAAATTAGCCTTTCGAGAGACTTAAATGTAATAGACACCCGGGGGGGTCCTTTTGAGTTTGTCTCAATTGTTTTATTTATTATTTATTTATTTTATTTTTTTCAGTTTTCTTTCTTAAAAAAATAATAATATTGGCTAGAATTTAAATGTCAGTGCTATCACCACTTTTTTTTTACATTTGCTTCATAAGAAAAAACATTTTTGTTTATGCGGTTTCATTGTAAATTTTATCTTTAATATCGAAATATTATTTTTTGTGTTAGTCTAGTGTTTTGAATGTGTCCATTAATTTCTCGTCCAAAGAGAATAAACCTGTAATATTCAAATTAGTAATTAGTAACTAATAATTATAAACACAGTTTAAGATTCAATGTTTAAGATTTAGACTTGTTTTTGTTAATTGCTTGTGGCTACTGCAACATTCAGATGTGTGGTTGTTGTGGCACTATTCTATGGGTACTTTATCTTGCTTTCCTTTTTTTCAGTTGTGTTCAGGTAGTGGAGCACCATGCTGCTGATATCGATGTGTATCACTGTCCCAACTGTGAGCCCATCCACGGACCCTCCATGAGTAAGTGTGTGCATGTGCGCATGTTTCTTTATTGCTTTTGTTGTGCCCAAGGATCAGTCTAATCATGCCTATTTATTTCTTTTTCTCAGTGAAAAAGCATAACAACTGGCACAGGCATGACTACACAGAGCCAAATGATGGCACACACCCCATCCAGGCAGGAACTGCTGTGTTTGTACAGGAACTCCAAGCCAGGAGCTTTTGCAGGTACAAGCACCTCTTGATTAGATTTTGAACTTTCCTACTTTGACGTCTCATGTGTTTTAAGGACATAATCAATCATTGATACATGTGTTGTGGCTTTGAAATTTGCACCTACCTGATAAGACTTGCAATTGATTTGTGTGTCTTGGCTGTTCCAAAGTGGGGATGAGGTTCTGGTGCCAATGCATGGGAGTCAGGTGACCCAACGCTTCCTGGAGAAGGAGGGCTTCCATTACCCCATAGTGGTGCATGACCAAGATGGACTGGGCCTTAAACTGCCCTCTCCTTCTTTCTCTGTCAGCGATGTGGAGCATTACGTTGGTAAGACCTCAGTTTGTGTGTGTTGCGTTTATGGTCTAACAGATAACAGCTCAGGATAGTGTCTGGCAAGTGGGGCACTAGAGCAAGAGACGCATTTAGGTCACATTTGGGCTCCTAACCAGACACACACATTTGTGCATATATGCTGTTCAGAACATGCAGGTCTCTTAGCTCAGGGTAGAAGGTCACGGGTTGCCATCATTTAATTATGGTAGTTATGGTATATACAGTATACATATATCATTAATATTTAGACCATTTCTATTATTAATATCAGGATGTACCTTTACCTTGCTAATTTGCTTCCTAGCTACCTTTAATACTTATTTCAGGAACGATGCATTACATTGATCAAACATGACAAGACATTTATAACATTAAGAAAAAAATTGCTGTTCTTTTGAACTTTGTTCATCAAAGAATCCTGGGAAAAATTAACTTACAGACCCCAAAGTAAAAAAAATAATAGTGTCTGACAAGTGTGTCTGATGTGGGCATATTAGTGCCTGAGGTTGAAAAATCACCCTTTTAGTCAAACCTTTGTTGGGTTTTAATATCATTTTATTGAAGCTATCATGTCTTTTTTTGAACAACTTTAAACGCTAACAGAGTGTTAGGTTACCAAGTCCCATTGTGATTGTGGTTATCCGTCTGTGCCAATAGTGTATGGTTTTGGACCGGACAACTATGGAGGTTATCTCCTTTCTCTTCTACATTAGACCTAAAACATTTCATCTCCAGTTACAAAGCTGTTGTCCTGCACAGCCAGTCTGAGCTCAGGTTCCCAATAGGGATGTTTTATCTCAATGCTTATGTTACATGGCTCCCTCTTTCGCACGCCGCTGATCTTTAAGCTGGAACTGTTTTAATAGTAACAGGTGTTGAGGGGAAGAGGTGTGTGTCTCTCTCTCTCTCTGTGTGTAAGATGGAGAGGAGAGGGGAGGGGGAACTCAACATATCATGTTACCTAGCCAGTTGGACACAGACAAAGGCCACTAACCTTCCCTGTCTGTCGTTTCTTCCATTTTCTCCCTCCACCTGCTTTTCTTTTTTTAGAAAAGACACACACACAAAGAAAAACTCATTTATGGGCAATTTTTAAAAAAATAATATTTGTTGTTACTGTCAGACTTTAACTAATTGTATGCACCATTATTCATCAGAGCAACAATTTTAAAAGGAAGTTAAAGGGGTAGTTCTCCCCAAAAAATGTACATCGAATTTTGTTAGTTATATGTTGTTTTTGCTTAACTCTAGTCCCCATTAGTAATGTTTTTGTTAACTAACACTGAAACTTGGCATAATCTCGATGTGCTATACATATTTTCCAGCTTTTTACTGGCAATCATGTTTTTTGTACTGTCCCTATTCAAATAAATGTTTAAATAAACTAAACTATAAATATTAAATGAAAAACTTAAGCGGAAATTTATAAATGTTGTCTTGAACTAAAATAAGTTTAAATTGAAGTGCTAAAACTACTCGAACTGAAATAAAATAAAGCAGTATAGAAATATTAAAAGGAGAAAACAAAAAGTACATGACAAAGTTATTAAAACTTAAACTAAAATGTGACAAATATCTAAATAAAAGCTAATTAAAAATATGAATAAACACTATAATAGTATATGAAAAATACTAAAATAACACTGGCCTATTTACATCCATTGTGTGGAAAAAGCATAACTATTCTTCAAATATGCGAGTTTGGAGTGTGTTTATTGAGGTTGAGAAAAAATATAAATATGATAAATAAATGAATCATTTTGGGGTGAACTTAAAATGTATACAGACTTTTTAAAATGAATATTGCTGAAAATGAATGGTTGACCATAAAAATATCAGCATTGGTTCAAAAGCTGTGCAGAGTCTTGTAGTTATGTCCTGTTCCCAACTTTGGCTCGAGTCTTTCACATTGTGTGTTTGTGGGACTGTTCCTCCAGCTGTTCCCTGTCATCAGACGCTGGCCAGCTGTGTGTGTGTTGAGGGATTGCAGTCACTTCACCAGCAGCTGTCCAGCGTCGTTTCCGGTCCTCAGCTGTCTTTTGTGATTTGCGGCCCTGCATCTGTGCCTCTCAAAAGCCTTATTACAGAATATATAGCAAAGAATTTATGCATAAAAAGATCTGAAAGTATCCACTTTCTTTTTCCAGGGTCAAATAAAGTAATTGACGTGATTGATGTCGCAAGACAGGCAGACAGCAAGCTGAAGCTGGGAGAGTTTGTGAAGTATTACTACCAACCTGAACGGCCCAAAGTTTTGAATGTTATCAGCCTGGAGTTCTCTGACACAAAGTACGTCTGTGTGAGAAACTGTGCAACATAACTTCACTGCAAATGAATTTATTCTACTGGTTAAGATAACATACAGTGTTACTTTAACACTTAGGTCACATTGTTGTTGCAGTAGATGACAAAATAGCAATTCAAATATCCTTTGTTTTTAAAGAAAGGCTGTTTTTGGGGCCTGGTATACAATTATGTAGCTACTTTATGATTTACCTGAATTCAGCTAACATTTAGCATGCTTAAGTGCTTGTTTGGGATCTGATTTTTGTTTACTGCTCAATTTTAGGATGTCTGATTTGGTGGAGGTTCCTGAGATAGCGCAGAATATGTCGTGGGTGGAGAACTACTGGCCTGATGACTCGCTCTTCCCCAAACCATTTGTGCAAAAGTATTGTCTCATGGGAATGAAGAACAGTTACACAGACTTCCACATCGACTTTGGAGGAACTTCAGTGTGGTATCATGTTCTTTGGGTATGAACTAAGACCTGTTTGATGCTTGACAGCTCTTTTAACTTCGTTTTTTTTTTTTGTGATATTGAAATTGGTGAGATTTATGAAATTTCAGTGGTATCAAAAATGTTGATATAACTTAATTTAAAGCAAAAATAACTTTATCGTAATATAGTATTCACCATTTTAAGTGGGTCTAAAACCTTCAACCTTCTTTTCTTAGGACAACTTTAAACTTTTTTTGATCCACTTTAAATGTTAACTATTGTATATATCTTTTAATGGGAAATAACATTACTCGTATCGTCATATAACATTTCAGACATATCGCCCACCCCTATTGATGAATAATGAGTAATTAATGCCGTTCAAGTCATGTGATTTTACGGTTCTACAAGAGCTGATAAGCAGTTGCTGGTAATTTTTTGTGTGTTTGTGTGCGCAGGGAGAGAAGATTTTCTACTTGATCAAGCCGACTAAGGCTAACCTTGCACTATATGAGTCCTGGAGCTCATCACCCAATCAGAGCGAAGTATTCTTTGGGGATAAAGTTGACAAGTGTTACAAATGTGTGGTGAAGCAGGGAACTACCATCTTCCTCCCCACCGGTGAGAACACAGAATTAGACAAACTTCTGAATCCCTTTTTGTGTCCATTTAAAAGATTATGCCCACCCACCTGTTTACATTATTATAATCAGAATAAGCTTTATTCGCCAGTGTGCGCAAACACAAGGAATTTGTTGTGGTTTCTAGGAGCTCTGAGTGCATACATCCATATACGCATATATAACACAAGAGAATAGAAAGAACATTTAAACAAGAAAATAGATATAGTAATATATATATAGATCAGAAGACTTGTGTACAGATGTGTGCATTATGTACTGTATATACAACTGTATTAATAAAAATATGTATTTTACATAGTAAGGATCTATTTATTGCCTAACTCGCAGGTGGCATAAACACCATACTGATTTATGAATTATAAAAAAGGTAGTAATTAGTGTCCTAACTGTTTAAGGTGGAGATAGCCTGAGGAAAGAACCGTTTTTATGTCTAGATGTTCTAGTGCACAGAGAACTGTAAGTGCAAATAGGCTGTGGCCGGGGTGAGAGGGCTCTGTGATGATGTCATGATGCCTTTAGTCCTGAGGTTTGGACAGGTGCACACCAATTATCCTCTCTATTGTCCTTATATCAGTTCCTTCTGCAGTTTCTGTTGATGATGCAACTATTTCTAATTGATCTATTATTTATTTATCAAAATTCCAATTAATATTTATTTGTAATAATTATAAATTAATTTAATATTATATTAATTTGTATAATACATTATAATACATTAGTTTAATATATTTTATTAAATTATATTTAAATGTTTTCGGGGGGTTTTCATGTTAAAAATGTAAGGTTGGTACAATGGTAATGATATCAAAATGAAAAAACAAGCAATATTAAAATACTGAAAAAGTTGTTTGCCATAAACTTTTATTTCCATTATCATAAGTCATGGGATGCAACCAACATGCAACATGCAAGAAATTGTTTTATAGAGAAGACACTTCTGACTGTCATGCTCAACAACGTGTCTCTTAAAATATCAGATTATTTGTAATAATGAAAGTGTAGTTCAGTTTGTAAATTGTCATGTAGTGACTCTCCAAAAAGTAATATTTATAAATTAATAATTCATATTTGTTCTAAAAAATAATTAAGATGTGTAAACTCGCGTGTTCAAGAGGTAAAGGGGCAAAAATATGTTTTACTTGATATTATTTGTGTCATTAATTTGAAACTTTTATTTAAAAAAAAAATGTACATGTCTCAAACCCATAATAACCAATAGGAATACAAAGTGTACATTGCTAAGAGCCTAACTAACTAGATTTTTTAAAGGATTGTTCCTTTATTAGTGACAGTTGCCATTTACTTAAATAACAGCTTGCCTTTTTTATCCTTGATTGACCCCACAACAAGAGAAAAAAATAGGACGTGTGCTATCGTATATAAAAACACGTACACGGTACGGCAAGCCGAAAGTAATATCAGGCGGTTTCCCAGGACTTCTGCCAGGAAAATGAGGATCAGCGTCCAACACTGATGACCCTTGTTCCAGTGGGATTGTTGGGCAACGGTCTTCACTGAGCAACGTGGTAAACACAATGAAAACACTCTCCGAAGGGCTGTGATGCGATTCACGTGCGTCTCACCGAATGGAAAGAATGAAAAGTGTCTGAATGTTATTTTAATCACCCAAGAGAGGTGCTTTAATTCAGCATACATTTAGAGTTCTATAAATGGTCTTTAACCAGTGCGGCGGTAGTAGACGTAACTCGGAAGGATTCATTATCACAGCATGTGTGTTTGAGGAGTGTGAAAGCAAGCATGTGGGTTTCCCTCCTCGAGCAGAACGTCACGTATGACGAGGCAGAAATCCCCCTCTTGTTCAGCAGCGTGTCTGCACACGACGGCCAATACACATCCTGCCAGACGGAGAGATAAAACTGATATTTCTGTCAGTGGCAGAGAGGTGTGGGTGTGAGATTACGCTACATTTAGCTTTTGCTGATGTGTATTTGTTTGTGTGCATCACACACTGGTTACTGGTGTGAATTGTGTGTATACTGTTGTGCTGCTGTCTTTACAAAAAAAAAAAAAAAAAGACTACTAATATGTTTAGGTGGTTTAAGCTTATGTTTAAAGGAAATAATATGCATAATTATGACAATAAGACCATATTTAAAAAAAAATGAACGTATGGAAGAATTATTGTAGGGTTTGTAAAAGGGAATTAGGTCAGCATAGAACAATCTTTGTGGAGGCCTGAACTTTTGTCTCCGTTGCCCTCTACAGGTTGGATCCATGCAGTGCTCACTTCTCAGGACTCCATGGCGTTTGGTGGGAATTTCTTGCATAACTTAAACATAGGCATGCAGCTCAGGTAAATCCTGCATTTATTCCTCAGTATGTCTCCTTTTGATTAAGCTTTTCTATACGGTCAATGCTTTTCCTGTCACTATAGTTCATTTCAGGTTCCTAAACGGATATTCCTACTGGAACTGATCTACCTCTCCAACTTCATTTCAGGTGTTATGAGATGGAACGCAGACTGAAGACTCCAGATCTCTTTAAGTTCCCATACTTTGAGGCCATCTGCTGGTACGTGGCCAAAAACCTTCTGGAGTCCCTTAAAGGTGAGTGGGACAGGACAAGTGCTTTAGTCGAGGGTAAATGGAAATAAAACATTTGCTCAAAACAGATTTCCTTTGTTTAAACCGTCATGTGACTATTAACCAACATCAGAGAACTTATTCTGTACATAAACATTCCACTTAATAGTTGTGAATGAACCTTCTTGATGGAGTGGAGATTGAAACGTTTGTGTTTTCAGAGCTGCGGGAGGATAATCGTCAAGCTCAGGATTATCTAGTGGACGGGGTGAAAGCTTTAATCTCATCACTGAAGACATGGCTGAGGAGGGAGGCAAGAGAACTTCCTCATTTACTGTCATTATTTTTCTAGCGAAACTCCTGTGGCTGTTCTACATGGTTATTTTCTTTGTGTTTCCTCCACAGTTGACTCAACCTAACAGTGAGGTTCCAGACCATATCAGGCCAAACCATCTCATCAAAGCTCTGACCAAGGAGATCCGCAACCTGGAGGTAAGACGAGCCCGAGGAGGTCCTGTGGTTTTCAATGGGGGGAGTTTAGACAGGTGTTGTGGCAGTATGAGATATTTGGTGCCTTTTGTTTTGATCTTCACTTTGCAACTTTATGGGAACAATTCCTTTCTGTCTTGCCAATATTCTACTTCAAATAAATCCAGTTCAATCAAAACAAACTAAATTCAATTAAACTTGTATTCAATCAAAATAAACTAAATTCAATTAAACTTAACTAAATCAAATAATATGGAATACAATTTTTAAAAATGTATATTAAATGTTACACATTGGAGTAAATAATTAGATTTATATTAAACTATATAGCAAATTTACAATTAATATTCATTTTAATTTAATTAAACTATTTAACTTATTACACTTTCACAGTCTGCACTTTAAATGAAAATAAATTAAATTAAATATGAATTCTTACACAGCTTGGAGTAAATTAAAAGTATATTTTTCTCATCCTGGACCTTAAATTAAATTAAATAAAAATAATTATTAAATTGAATTGTAATTCTTACACAGCTTGGAGTAAATTTTAAATTGTTCAACTGAAGCAAATTTACAATAGGTTTGTATTAAACAATTTAAAATCTTAAATTAATATATATTTTTACATAGCCTGGACTTTAAATTAAATTAAATATGAATTAATCTTGGGAGTAAATAAAAGTTATGTTTAACTAAAGCAAGTTTACTTATTAATATTCATTTAAATCTCTTTAAATGTTTCAAATATTTAAAAACTCTTTAAAATATTAAGTTATTTAATTCTTACAAAGCCTTAAATGAATCAAAAAAATTTATTAAAAAAAAATCCTTTTAATTTTTGACTAAAATATGTGCTAATTATTATGAGTGTTTCTACATAAACTAAAATGGCTCCAAGTTAAAGGAATTTGCTGTGTTATTTTCTTAAACAGGGTGATTCGAATAAAGCTGGAAAATCTCAGGAAGGTGCAGAGTCCGCTTTAACACGCTCCGCACTGGAGAAAGGATATCAGGCACGGCGTGCAGCTCGGAGGCTACGAGACCATCATCATCGACACCACCACCATCATCATCATCATCACAGCCGCAAACTGCCCTCTAACTTGGACATCCTGGAGCTTCACACGCTGGAGGTATTAAAGAGACTGGAGGTCGGACCGCTTGTGGAGGTGAGCAAGTCAGATTTTTTTTCCCCCATAATGCACTGCAGCATGAAGCTCAGATTTCTTATTTGTTCTCTACGGCGACATTAGCCTTCATTATTCCTTATCATATGACTGTAATGCAATGCTATCAAATGGTTTTGGAGGGCATTTTCACCTTGGTATTAGATAGGTTCACTGCTTTAGCAGCATTCAATTATTCTATTTCCAGTAAAAACATCTCTCGTTTCGTGTAACAGGACCCAACCTTCAGCTCCAAAGTGAACGGCAAGTTTAAGAAAGTGTCTGCAGTAGCTGTTGATGGGAGTCATGACAATGCCCTGCGCCTGGTGCTATGTAATGGCAAAATTATGAGGTGAGGGTCCCGGTAGCTTCTCTTTGTGTGACCATTAGATTGGCTATCTGTTAGGCACCAGTTTTCATTATTATGAGATGTATGATAATGCCAGTCAATGCACAGTAAGATTAATGGTGTAATTAAGTAATTAAAGGACATTATTAGACATTATAAGACAAAGAAACTATTATTAATTTTCTATTTATTACTGTTTAAATATTTAGTTTGAAGCAAATACATATTTGAAAAAATACATATTTAAGAAGTATTTGAATGGCTACATGCCTGTGTTTTTATTTAACTTATTATTTAACTTATTTAATGTGGCGTACCGAAATTAGTAGTAGTGAGAATAGGGACATTGAGATACCTCTTTAGTTCTTTACATGGAATGGTTTGATATTTTAATATTGATATTAGTTTTATTATCATCATTAGTACTATTAGTGGTAGTTGTAGTATTAATATATAAAATATTATAAATTACTGGGAAAAAAAGTTTTTAAAAAGATATTAATACTTTTATTAAGCAAGGGTGAACTAAATTGAAAAATTGAAGTAAAGAAAATAATTATTTCTTTTATTGTTGCGGGTTCCATTAAAAATATTAAGCAGCACAACTGTTTTTAACTTTGATTATAATAATAAATGTTTCTTGAGCAGCAAATCAGCATATTCGGTTTCTTAAGGATCATGTGACTCTGAAGACTGATGTTAAAGCTGAATTTTCAGCATCATTACTCCACAGGAAAAAATTACATTTTAAAATATATTATGATAGAAAACAGTTATTTGAAATTGTAATAGTATTTCACAATATTACTGTTTGCTGTATTATCAAATAAATACAGCCTTGTTGAGCTGAGAGGCTTAAAAAAATCATTTTAAAAGGTTTTAAAACCCCCACCTTTTGAATGGTAGTGTATGTTTAATTATAACTTGTCTATTAATGTAATATATTAATTGAATGAATAAAGTTTTCTGTTTTGGTCCTCCTTCCTCACAGGGAGAGGTTATCTATCAGTAATGTGACAGCCAAAGTCAATGGAGTGGAAATGTTGCAGTTCCATCAACACAGGATCAAATTGGAAAGAATGCCAATGTGCCCAGAAGAAGAAGTGAAAAAAGAAAAGCAAGAGGATGAATTTGGAGTTCACTGCTCCATCAAGAAACCACTCAATCATGGTGAGTCGCTTGGAGCTGCAGAGGTTGTCACAACTCAGCTTTTGCTATCCAGACTGACTACACACCTTATTTTGCAACTATATGCTAAGCTATTTTTCTGTGAATGTGTGAGACTTCTGATTCATTAGCTGATAACCGGAAATAATAACAATAACAAAGTGCAGTAAAGTGTACTACGGTACAAAACCGTTTTAAGCAAGCAGCTGTTTTGCACAGCTAAAAAATACCTGATGTTATAAATGGCCGCACCTGCTCTAACGTTAAAAATGAGGTGGATATAAGCTTGAATCAGACATTGAATCATATTTTTTTCTGTCATTATGGATTGATTAGTATGCGTAAAGATATTTGTTTGTCCAACATCTTATTTTGTCAGGTCTAACAGTGCAGACAGAGTCGCCACGTGTAGCATCTTCAGACAGTGACTCGGAGTCAGAGGCGGAGGATTGTGCTGAGGTACTGTTGATGTCGATTCAACTCTGAACACGTTTTTTTGGTTCGATGGCTTAAAGGGGTCATGAACTGAGAAATCAAATTGTCTATTGACGTGAAGTCATTGCACAATAAGATATCTTGTACGTTTCAGAAGTCAAAAACAGCTTTTATTCAAACCAAGCTCCCAAAACAACTCGTTTCGGATTTCGTCACATTATGACGTCATAGTGCGACGAAAGACCGCATCTACAGAAGATCATCGTCTACTTCTACATCATTGCGTCTTTAGCTCCGCCCACCGATTCACGGGTATGATCTAGTATTAAATTTGAGAGAGACGAACACAGGACAATAGAGATTCCTCAGAGGATTACAAGATGTTTTTCAGTGCCAAAACACAGTCTTTCCATTGCCTTTTTTTTCGTGTCATTTGGTTCATTCAACGAACGGAATGAACGAATTGACTCAGAAAAAGATTTGTTCATTTTGATAAACGAGTTCGAACAGGAGAGTCACGAACGCGCATCACAGAACAGAGCAAGGCGAGAAAAATGCTAGAATGTTTTCATCAAAAACCTTCATTTCTTTTGGACATCAAAGAACAATTTAAATGCCGTTCATAACCCCTTCAAAATTATTCTCTGCCATTTCATTCCTTTGTGTCACCCTTTCTCTAAACAGAAACGCTCATCAGAGTCAGGGAGTTCTGAGGAAGAGGATGGAGCGAGCAAGAGAGACTCAGGGAGTTTTGTGGAGCATCTTAGCGGCCACCAAAAGCAAGCGTTAAAACGGTATGACTGCCCTTCATTTCACACACCTGAGAAAACCGGCACAGTTTAAAAGCTATTTAAATCATTTTTTTCCTTTTTGTGCTAAAATAGTTCTACTTGTCCACAGAGAACGTCCTACCTCACCGAGAACAGACAGTGCCATTCAGGGCATGCTGTCCATGGCGGGGCTGTTGTGTCCGCAGGCATCAGAAGGGGCCGATTGGTGGACCAGTCAAGGTAACAGTAACAGCAACAGCAGCAGTGATATGTGGGACAGCAGTGAACCCTGCTCAGCGCCCCGCAGCCCAGAGGGAGGAGACGGGAGTCTCGGGGAGGAATATTCCTATAGAGAGAGCTCACTTTCCCCTCCGCTCCACCCCTCCAAAAGACATGCCCCCAACCCCACGCCCATCAGCAACCAGGCCACTAAAGGTGAGCTGTTTCCTACACTAAAAGAAATAACAGTAGTAATATTTGTATAATTTTTTTTAGAAAAGTCAACCACATTGAAAAAATATACATATAGAGTGAGAGAACCCATGCTGACCCTCATGACGGTTTACCTTGAAAATTATGCAAAACTTTTTTTTTTTTTTTTTGCTGAAACTTTTTTTCTTTCTTAAAATATGTAAAAAAAAGTTTTAAACTTTATTTTAAACTATTTTTTACCTTGGAAATTTTTATAATTTTTTTTTTGTTTTTTAAAAATTGTATTTATTAAAAAAAAAATTCCTGGAAAAATATGTTAATTGAATAATTGGAAAATTGATTTTGAACTATTTTTACCTTAAAATGTGTTTAAAACCTTGAAAATGTATTTATTTATTTATTTTTTTTGCTTATATCAAAAATAAGATTTAATAGTGAATATATATATTTTTTTTAAATAATTAAAATAGTGTACACATTTATTCAGATGACATGACATTTTTAGAGTGAATACATTTGTCAAAACCTTTTTTGAATATTGTATAGAGTGCATTATAATTAAACAAAATAAAGGAAAATCCTTTAAAAATTATGTATTTTTCCTTTCGTTTATCCTATGTCGTTTACCCATAAAACCCATGTGGGAGATCACTTCACAATTAGGTATTTTTGGGGTAACAATTATGTTTACAACACTATTTCAAAGAACATGCTAAACTTTTTTTTTGTATCGACTTATGTCATGTTTTTGTGGTTGTTTTGCAGGAAAGCGTCCTAAGAAAGGAGAGGCGACAGCTAAACAGAGGCTTGGGAAGATATTGAAAATGAGTCGCCATAAAGGCTTATTCCTGTAGCATGACGGAGGAAAGAATGAGACTATGTTTAATAAATCAACACAGCTGCTTTTCTTTATACGCTGGGATTATCAACACACACACACACACACACACACACACAAACACACACAGTTCACTGTGCATGTTTAGGTGACAGGGTATGTTTAATGGCTCACCTTTTCCACCAATCACACGAAATACACAACACATTATCCATCAACGCAGGGAAACTGCTTTACAGCATTTAAACATTAACAGCCAAAAGTTTCAAGAGGAAGCACAGAAACGCATGGTCGGATGCCAGAGAGCAGCGCGTTCCTTCTGGCAAATGTGTATCACGGGCTGAGGCCTCTCCTCTCCCCCACCCTACCTCTTCTCACATCTGTAGCATGAGTGTCCAGGCGCTCGCAGACACTGGGATTGTTCCATTGATCCTCAGATTCCCCTCAAGTCATTATCAATCTGCCTATTTCTCCTTTTGATTGTCTCAGGCTGGAGTATGAGCTTTTGAAATGGTGCTGATCGTTTATAAGCCCTTTCCCAACCCCCTCTACCCCTTTAAGCAATAATTGTACAGCAGTGAGTGATGTTTTGATGATTTAGTGGGCTGCACTTTTAGGATGCGCAGGAAGTCCTCTCATGGTGGAACCATCAAATGAAATCAGAGTGGCAAAGATACAACTATATGACTTCCCCTTGATTTGACAGTGTTAATCCTTTTTAATTAAGTTAATTACATTAATAATCTGTTTTTGTACCTTAGTTTGAAAAAACAATATTTACAAAGGTGAGAAATATGCTGATAAATGCTTATACAACAGAAGTCTGTGTTTGCAATCCTTGTATTGCAAGTGCATCTGGTTGTAAACATGTTTTGGTTCGTTTTTTATGTTCCCGAAAGGTACTAGTGAAACTCGGAAATAGTCATTTTACACTGGCAAAATTGAGAAAATCGTACATGTATTGTCACACATTTATTCGCCTCTGTCACAACCCAGTGGCCGCAGAGAGGTACTGCATCCTGGAGCGCTGCCCCGAGATACTGTATGTGATGTAGTTTGCGAGGACTAAATATGCTTGTCACGTGATTGACAATGATCTTCAGCTCATTCTGCATAATTTGTTCTATTTTGTTTGTTTTAATTGTTTTTTTTTTGTTGTTGTTTTTTGACTGGACAACTTATTTATTAATTTCAAAGATTTATATTGCATTCTGAGTTTCCCGTTTTTCCTTAGTATTGAATAGTTATGTAAATACGAGTATAATTTCGAAAGAAGAATGAGCTTTTGTTTAGGTTCAGCTTTATGGGGTTTGTTGTCAACACATTTAATGCTACTTTTTAAAATAATAATAATTTGAATGACTTTACCTGTTAAATTTACCTCTGAAATGTTAGCGCGAGTTGACTGTGTGAATATTGATGCTTTATGTTGTCTTTGCGACCTGTTGAAGCGGGACAAACGAATTTCAGTGGGAACAACAACAAAAAAATGGTGGTGCTTGTGTGAATTTCTTAGAGAGGCTATGAAACGTTTTCTCAGGGAACATCAAACAGGTGACATCTTTGAATTCATCACTAGCACCGTCGTTTAATCGCGTTTTGTACTCTTTCCCACAAACTTGCCAACAAATGTATATATTCCCATTTATTTTGTGTCTGGTAAATGTAAAACCCAGATTCTGAACAAAAGTGTGTTCCACTGTAAAGTATATAAAAATGAGTTTGTAAGACTTTGTGAGGATAGAACAGCACCAACAGATTTTGGTCAGCTACTCTTGACTGTTGTGTAAGAAGTCTGTTGGTTCAGAAAGCAAATGCACTATTTTGGATCTACATGACTTGAGTCGGATAACTGCTAAAACTCAGGCTTTGTTATGGTTTTGAGTTTTGCTCATCCGCGAGTGTTTTATGATGAAATGTTCCTCTGTTCCCACTCAAAAACCGTCACATAGACAGACACCCTTTGAAAATGTCAGCACTATAAGGCAAACAGCTCATATCCTTCATATCTGATCAATCGAGCTGTTCTTCAGACAGGTTTCCATTGCTTTTGACGCATTAATTGTACAGTATTTATTAAGCTCTAGCATTCATTTCCATACTCAACTGTGGTATAGACTTAATGTCACTGTGTTTTCAAATGCTGTGTTCTGTTCCTTCTCTTCAATAGTTCTCTTTGAAAAGTTTTGGATGTGATGGACTTTCTCCAATGCAATGTATATATAAGATGCGAGAAATGTTTTGTAGATCACACTGTTTTCCCCTTCCCTTTACCAAGTGTTAAGTGATAAAACACTGTTCTATTGACAAACTCAAGACTCAATGGTTTTTATTTATTTAGTCTTGTCTTTTACAATATAACGTTTACAGTTAGACTTGATAATAAGTCCACATAACAGGTACTTTCAGTTTCCTCTACAGAAAATGTGTGGGTTTGCCATCACATCTGTTGCACATCTCCAAGTGCAAGATGGAGAAGAGAAAAATCAGTCATGCATGCTGTGGCAACACACCAGGTAAGAAATTAGCAATTTCCTCTGCATGTTAATGACTTGAATACATGTGTAAATTTGGGGTGTTGAGGGCAAGTCTACTCTTCATCATCAGGTGGGATTCCCAGCTCCTCATCAGTCCATGCTGAAGTATCCGGCCATGGGAAATGACCCTAAAGAGACATTTAGTTAAGTGGCTGGTGGTCTTTTTATTATGCCTAAGAACAGAGGCATTTGATCTCATCATTTGTTGATGAAGTTTCCGCTCACCAGGATGGCATCCGGGTCGTGCCAGGTGTGCCACAGGATCCAGAACCACATGGCTCCGCTGAGCAGCTCAGCCTGGAACATCTGCTTCTTGGTGATCTGAGGAGGCTGTCTGTACAGGGGTCCGCCTCCTGCCCTGAAACACACAGAAACATCTACAGTAAGTTTAAAATAAAATGTAATGTTAATGGCTAGTGGTACTCATGCCAACATATTGTATATGTATTATATTGCCAATAATATGTATTGCCAATAATATATTGGCAATACATGTGTACATTTTGAATATTGGCAATATATTATTAATACTGTAATTTTAAGAAATGAAAGTTATCCCCGTGTTTTTGGACTTGTACCTTGGAGTACCATGGTAAATAGCATTGTATATAAAAATGTGAATCATTATTACCATTTGATACCATTACTGTACTATGGTACGACCAGAGTACTTTTATTTAAGGCTATCCTCCTCACTATACTCTATTTATATCTAACGATAGATTCCAGCAATCTCTGAAAAACCTGACAAAGTTCGTATATTTAAACTAAATGACTGCCGTTACTCTGTTTCTAAAGTGTCGTTTAGAGATTCCACGACACAAAATACACTTTACTGGAGCATGTTTAGCTTGTTAGCCTTTTGATGATAAACACTCACTTTCTGAGGGTCATCTGCTGAGGTCCACGCCTGAAGAGCTGCAGGCCGCTTCGGAGGACACCCGCTGTCCTCCCGAGAGAAGACATGCTTATGCCTGTGCCAGCACTTTGTGGGTTTTTTTAAGTATTTATCGAATTGACAAAAGTGATCAGACGGAGAAATGTCACCTTTAAAGCGGCTGTTTCTTTGGCCTTCCAATAACGAGCGCTGTGATTGGTCACTTAAAAAGAAGGCGTTTCAATGCTACTCCCTGTCTATACGCTAGAGGGCGCCAGATACGCGCTAAGAAAAGATCGTATAGCGTCTTTGGTAAAAGATGAAAATAAACAGTGTATAAAACATGATTGTCATGACGAACACAGAAAAAAATATATATATTATATTATTTATTGTGTTTCCTTTCCATTTTGTTAGATTCTGTAATAAGAGAGACTCTGTTTCTTGAGTAGCCCCCTTTTTACAATCTATTTTATGGCAAATACAGAAAAAGGTTCAGATTTTATTATTGTATGCATTTAAAGAAACAATTATTAGGAGATTGTCGTTTATTCAGTCTCTGAAAATAGAACAAAGGAGACAAGTGATAAATATCTGTGTACTTTATTGGCACAAACAGCAAAAAACTAAACAATCCAAACAGATTATTTTTCTGATTTAATGGAACATCCTCTGTGGTTTTCAACACCAAGCCCGTCTATTGTCCAAGGCTGTGTTTCCCAAAAGTATTGTAAAGCCTAAATATATTGTAGAACTATATTGTAAAAGCAATTTGTTTACTTTATAAAAATCACATCAAAAAGACATACCACAACCTGACTGAAGGTAAGCATTTATCCTAAAGGACCTTTTACTTGATACAAAAAGTATGAATGGTCAATAAGACAGCAGATGGCATGTAGAATATTGTGTACAAAGGATTTTTAAAGCAAAGTTTGGATCATGTAAATCATTTACAGGCCTTGGTAATGCATTGTATTAAATGAGACAAATTACTTTATAGGGTTAATTAAGTTTGGTCATTTCATTATAACTTTTAAACTATTTAAGTTATCTGCAACTTTTTAATTTAACCTGCCCTTGTTACACGTTACATGCATCTACTGTAGTAATAACTATAAATTACGCATAAATTACATGCAGCTATCCCAATCCCAATAAATACATGCTTTATTACTCACTATTTAAATGTATAATTAAACTGTAACACGGACACCTTAAAATAAAGCGTAACCGAGTCATTGGGATCCGGACCCCTGATTGAAAACCACTGCGATTTACAAACCATAATAAAATCTCATTTTTAATCTGCGAGATGATTTGGCAAATTGGCCGTTATACACCAATCCTGGAAGAAGGTTCTAAGAAATAGTATACAGTGTATTGTGTTGTTGGTAATATAAACGTATTACACATTATTTGAATCAATTTCACCCCTCTCGTGTCCATAATCATGTGTATTAGACAAAATAAATAGTAGGTTACAGATAATGCAAGTAACGAAAATGCATCCACGAAAACAACTACACGCTATGCAGTACAGAACATGCTCAAATACGCCATTTACTAATCATCATCATCCACAGACTAGAGCAGAGGAGGCGTGGGATCATCGACAACATGGCGGCTATGGAAACGCGATCAATGAAAAAAGCGAGCAGCTAAAGTCAAGAAGTTACAAAACATCAATCTTAACGCAAGAAACAGATTACTCATGCAGAACATCAACGATGTGAAACCTCGGCCGGGATGTTTTCTGCATTCGTTTCCTGAATAACGTTACTGACTACTGAGAAGCACCGCCACCGAAACAGGAAATGCGCGCTCCAGCAGCTCAATTCTTTTTTTTTTTTTTTGGTTGCAGCAGCAGCTCGTATGCGTCCGTGATTGACGTAACAGACGATGGCCTGACTTCTGATCAAGTCCATATAAAAGTCATAATAGCAGCTGGCGGAAATTTCACACAGGCTTGGATAAACATATCTACAGATGCCTTTGAGAAATTAATTTACATTAATAATCATGCTGCAAGGGACCACGTAATGACGTCATGACGCAAAAAAAAATAAGAGCTCGTTTATAAGAGCTTCTTTAAAACGAACCACCGAATTCCCAAATTAAATCGGCTAACATTTCTTTCCAATATGCCGTTTTTTTACGACGACAAAGGCCCAATAACTATTTTTTTTTATTCGTCAGCGTTTACTTTAAACGCACGACTGGTGACGTACACTTAAGGAGCTCAATCTACTTTTCGGCAATGATATATTCTGGAAAGACCGTCCGTGACCCCGCCCAGTGTGGGCTTTGTGCAGTGCTGTGAACGCCATCTTCCTGCGATTTTGTGACGAGAAACGAACGAATAATGTTTATTGCCAACTCCGTGTAAGGGCTCTTCTATAACGCCGTGTTGAGATCCATTGAAATTTAAGTAAATCAAACGGTTGATGAGGTTTGGAGTTAAAGGCACCCTACTGTCGTCCACAAACATGGTCGGATCTCCGGGCGCGCCGCTCTCCCCTCACAGCTCAGTGCCCGCCCACTTACGGAATTCAGATGATGTCATCGGTAGCCAATCAACGCCGAGAAAATAGAACAATGAGCGTATTATTGGTCAAGGGCAATGTCATTCATCTACTCAGGAAGGCCAGGGAGGGGGATGAGCGGAGAAAATCGCCATTTTGAAAGCAGAACAAAATGAACGATATCGACACTGAAATAATACCCTAGCTCCAGAATTGGTTGAATGCAGCCCGTCTTCCACCTATAATCTCTCAATGTCCCGGAATTTAAAACCTGATGATGATTTGACTGGCGTAGGCAATCCTGTGCAACATAACAGCTCGATTTAACTATCTCTTTAGTTTCGTTTTCCTTCTACAGTGCATTTTCGATCCACTGTATTCGCGTCACATCGCAGTTTTCAGCTTTGTCTCGCTGTTTCTCCACTCTGGGTAGCATAGCTCTTCAACTGCAAGTGGTTGGTTTTATAGCACAGACTGCGCATGCGCAGGAGGATGCGGTTTAGATCCAGTTTAGCATGGGGGAGGGTGTTTGTTTGTAGGGTGAGCTGCTCGGATGAAGCTTTCTGCTCGAAGACCAACATTGGGAAACTCCTGCAACAATAAAACATTAGTTTTCGACAAAATTATATAAGTCAACATTTTTATTAAATATCCAATATGTGTTTTGTATTTGTAACTCAACGTGAACTTGAGAGACTATGGCTTGAAAGCATTTAACTAAATGGAAGAATAATCAGAGAAGAAAAAAAAAAGAGTGGGTCTGTTGTCAGCCAACGGAAATATTGCCGTTTCATTAGTCTTCTGCAGATGTTTGTGTATATACTTGTGGTCATCTCATCCAGTTACCTTGAGCAGAATAAAAAAAGAGAAAACACTGCACTTGTATAAAGGGTTACATAACAGATTTGCAGCCATTTACTGTTTTGGGCCTCACAAGTAGGTGTTCGTATTCAACCATAGTAGGCAATGACTTGCGTAGGATGCCTCCTGCTTTGTTTTCACCATATTCTTAAACTCTTTTTATTATTTTATAAATGTTTTGGCATGTGGCTAGGATATAATGGGGGTAGGGATTCCATAAAAAGGAAGCATGGGAAAAGGTTGACGATTAGACTTCCACATCAGGAACCCATGAAAAGATTACCACCTACATGCAGGTACAGATTGTTTTATCAGACATGCTAGGAAAAAGATTGAAACGATTTTACCAAACATTTATTTGTAATGGTAGACACTAGCTATTTTGTAAATGTATGTCTAAATATAAATTCAAAAGCAAAACGTAAATAAGCCAATAAGTGCTCCCAGGGTTGTTGCTGTGGGTCCCCCTCGGTTGAAATTGCAGGGACCCCCAAAAGCCATGGGCCCCTAGAATCATCTCCATCTTTCACCCCTCTAACAATGGCCCTGAGTGCTGCAGTCTAATGGTTATAGTGGTAATTCATGTCATTTTTTGTTTGCCACCAAGTGTTAGTTTTCCACCAAGTGTTAACTTTCCTATCTTGAAGCTTTTAGTTTTACAAATACGGACAATCTTTGAAAGATGAACAAATAATGTAACTAATAATAACTAATAATGGTTTTGGTCATCAAATAATAGAAAATCACATTTAAATTGGGTGATATTAAGAGCTTTGAAGTGCTGGAAATAGTTGTGTGAAACATTGAAAGATTTTGAAAAGTGCTTGAATTTCTCTTGCAAAAGGTTGTACGAACCCTGAAATGAAGAAGCCCTAGCGATCTTCCTCTGAATCCACAATTTCATGACGCACATGGGTCACCCAAATGACACGTGTATGCAGTGGCCATTGTAAGTCCACAAGACCGCAAGTGTACAAGTGTGTTTCGTTGCTCTTTCGTTTAGAGGGGGCATGGCCCACAAAAGCTCACAGTTGACACTGGCCATTATGGATGCTAGAACGCAGGGAATTAATTTAGTGCAATGCTCACAGTGCATGTGTATTCTGTAGTGACTATTTGTTTATTTTACATCGGTTATACACTCATTATTTGAGGTCCATTGTGGGATTGATGGCTTTTCTAAAATTGTGCACTATATAGGCTAAGGGTATAGTTGTAATTTCAGACATAACCTTGTTTTTTCTGTTAGTGTAGGCTATTAAAGACACCATGAAATCCAAATTGACAAATTTATGGAATATTGCCATTTATTATATAAATTATTTGAGTAAAAGCGTTATTTTAAAAAAAGTGTGCCCTCGTAATCAAGTACAAAATCAGGTACCAACATTTTTTCTTGTTCGAGAAGCCGTTTCACTTAGATGTCACAGCAGGGAAGAAAAGGTTAACTTTTATGTGACAAAATGGCATAGAAGCATTGAATTGGGACGCCCCTGGTATGGCAGTTCGTTTTTTTCTCAAGAAAATGCAAAAAATATATTCTAAGCCAGTTTGAAAGTCGTCTTGAGTTTAGGGTTTCTAGTGACCCACTAAGCTTAATCGCAATATTTTTATCCACAAATTTTTCCCTTCTTTAGGCATGCATCTCGCTAAGCCAAGCCTTTAAGGCTGACTTTCTCCACGGCGGGCTACAGCACTCCTATGTTTGGAGTTGGACGACAGTTTGATAAGAATGCGCGCTCCCATTTGCCGTGGATGAACTCTCTCCTGCACGCGCCCCTGAGGTTCTGCTCTGGGAAACCCCGCGGAATGAAGGGGCGGCGCGCG